AACCTCTGTTATTCAATGTACACACTCTGGACAATGTCTGCATAATGGCCGACAGAAGTGAATTACTTCTGAAGTGCATAAGATAATGTTTTCTAAATTATGTGTCTTCGAATGATGGAGTTATTCGGCTTTGGGTAAATTTCCCCCATCTCCTGCCAAGAGAAATGTTTTCTGGACCATTTTATTACCAGGGTTACAGTTAATGTACAGGCCTGATTTCTCTGAAACTTTTTGGAAGAGTGTAACATGGGCCAAGGAAGAAACTATTAAATTAAAGAGCGACTCCAACTCGGAAACAAGCAGTGCTAGTGCTACTTTATTGTCTGTTTGTCAGCAGGATTATGGAAAAAAACTACTGGCATGATTTTTATGGAACTCTGAGGAAGAGTGTAGTATTGGCGATGGAGGAAGCCATTAAATTTTTGAGTCGATCTGGGTCCAGCTCAGGAACAGGCAATAATAGCGGATTAGACTCGAAGAAGGTCTGAGTGCCTTTCTGCTTACTCATTTTTGGAGCTTGTTGCTGATTTTAAAAATCCAATGAAAAGTCTCTATGTTGTCTACGAATGCATTGCTATAGTTGGACCTCAAGCCCAGCAAACCCTCAGAGATAAAAACATTAGATTTGTCTGATAGAGACATGGTTATTAACTGAAACATGGGCAGAGTGATAAAAGGATAACAATATATATTGAAAATTAATTTCCCTCAATATCAATATAAAACATGGTCAATATGCTTTTCAATAGCCAGCATTCTGCCATGTTTTGGTAGACTATACGAATAGCCAATGAAAAGGGGAGTTGCTCCAGGTCAGCTTCACACTGAACCAATAGAATTAGAACCAAGTAGCAAACAACTGCGTAGTAGCAGGCTGCAGCTACACACAACCATAGCACTTTAACATGTGAAGCCGACAGCACTGTGGGTGAGAAAAAAAGAAAATAAGTGCTACCCCCGGCAGAAATGCAGATAAAGACTCAACAGATGACGATATCATCGACAACACTGGCACTAAAATGTTGATGGTGTGGAAGTATTTTGGTTTTTTGAGGTCGGACATGAAGCAGAGTAACGTGCACTGCAAATTATGTCGAGTACATGTTCTCGCAAAGTCGGGGAATACCTCAAATCTATTCACCACCTGAAGCAGTGCCACACGGCAGATCAGTGCAATGCAAAAGTTTACGAACCCCAAGCAGAGTAAGGAGCCCATGGCGACCATTCAGTCTGCTTTGTCTAGCACAACACCTTACTACAAAACATCAAAGAGACACAAAGACCTCACAGATGTAGTAGCTTATTGTACTGCAGAAGACATGCTACCAATAAGTACTGTTAAATTTCATTTTTAATATTGTTATATATATCAATATTGACTGATATAAAGAAAACATATATCGTGATAAACTTTTCCCATATTGCCCAGCCCTAACTGAAACTAAAGAGTTAGATACATCTTGTTTCATGAGCCAACAGCCTCCAAAAACTATGAGATCAGGCTGTAAGTATATTAAAACACTGACCAAAAAAAAAATCAATTCCAGAGTCACTTTCATTAAATGCAACAGAATAAGAGTGTGCCAGAATTGTGTATAAGTATATTTAGAATCATTTGGGTATACAGGTAACTTCTTATAAAGAATAAGCAACTTAGTCTACGTCTATAGGAGTGGCAGAAATGAAAATACAGGACACCAGGTCAAAATCACATTGCATTAATTTGCCACTCAGAACACTAAAATAGAAAACCATCCACTCTTGCTGTCTTTGTTCCTGTGGTTTCTTGCTTATAGATACACTTGTTGTTTATAATCAGGGATTTGATGCAGATGTTTTAATTACTTGACATGACTTCTTTCCTTTTATACTGCCAGAGTTCTTAACTCCTGTCAGACTTGTTACGCCGTGCCAGCTCTCCTTCACTGGATTTATGTTGGTTGGTTTTCCGAAGTATGAATCACTGACCGTTTGATTAATTCCAACCTACATTTCTCCCTCAATATACCTCTAATATTGGAATTTAAAAAAAGAAAAGACAAAGAAATGTAGCTGATAATTCTGCATGATGTAAGGCAGTTTCTAATCTACAAAACAAGTAGGGCAGATTTCTGTGCCAGGATCTTCTCAGTATAACTCTTCTGGCAACAGATTGTCTGAATACTCACACAAAAATATACTTTTTTTCTACAACTACTGTACGTATTCAATCATAGGGAGCAGTTCTCATCTTGCTTTTGGCCAATGACAGCTGTACAGATTCTCAGCATGATATAAATAATCAGGTTTTTCACTAATGGGCTTGATGTTAAATCAGTTTTTGATGTCGAAGAAATAGAACATATCTGTTTTTTATTTTCCTCTTTCTTTTAATAGGTTACGTGCGACTTAGAAGAATACTTTGTCCTTGGTTTATTTCATTTTAATTGAAGAATAACCATAAACTCGAATTGAGTATGAGTGTGTGAACGATTTCACAATGATGCACCCTAAAAATCGCATCATTGCAACATGATGTATGGTAAATTAATGAAATGGCCATCTCTCTTTCCATGTAGAAACTCTAATTAGGAAGAGGAGAAAAGCACTTATAAATCTATTATTGAAACTAGTGATATTGAGTGCACAGGGGTCAGGCCAAAATGATAATTGGATGATAAAATTGATTCTCATTTCTGTTTTATTTGCTTCGGGCTTAGCTTGTCCTATTTCTATTCCTTTTTCCATCCATCCAATTTCCCTCCATCTGTGGTAGAAGCTGGCCACCATCAGAGTGTGGAGGAGGTTATTCAGCGACAGTGCACCCTCTCTGACGTGAGGGAATAAGCGGGGCAGAACACAGAGCTATTTTGGTGGAGCTCCTCAGTATCTAGGTCTGAGTGATTAAAACAGTATCTTCTGCCAAATAGTCTGCTCACTGAAGGTGTGTTTGTATCATTGTTGGATTTCCCAATCCTCACAAAAAAAAAGAAAAACTACAGACAGAAACACTATTTTCTTCTGTTGGTTTGGACTTGGTTCTGTTTTTGTTTCAGTCTTACAGTCAAGAGTTTAACTAAACCCTTATAATCAATCTTTATCACCTGTCTGTCTTAATAATTACCAGGTTGTGTTACAAACTTGATTCTAATGGGGGGATAAAGACATGAGCAATTTTAATGAAGGAGTTCAATGTTAGTTTCCATCTCAGGACAGTCTTGAGACTTCAGAAATAATAGCTGTTGCCAGGCAAACCAGACAACAGCAGAGCCCCTGAGTGTATCATTGAGTTACTCATCATAACAAAGTGACTTTAACCAGATGGTTGACGCCACCAAAGATGATTATAAAAAAACAAAAGTTGAAACGTTTGTGTCATTTATGTTAAATTGTGAATCAAGTGAGGGAGTTGAATTAGCACTGAAATGCTAAAATATTACTGCATACCTCCCTTTCACCTTTCCTTAATTTACCTTTTATGGTAACATTCACAACAAAGTGTTTTGACTTTACTATGAATTGAAATGTTGACTTAAATTTTATTTGACCTCTTTCCAGGAGAAGCTGAGCGTTTAAGAGCTTGGACCTGATCAGCTGGACATAGTTCATACAGCCTTCAAACTGCAGAGGGAAATTAGACTTCATATGATTTAGCAAATTAAAATTCTGTTCTGTAGAAATTCTAATTTGCATGATCACCTATTTATTATCCTATACATAAAATCTTTACATTTCAGAAGATGTCTGTGCAGAAAGTCAAATTTCAGATCATTTTAACAGCATATTCTTCACTCTTTCTAGTCTTATAGTCAATGAGTAATTGAAGGCTATGAGTGACAAAGCTTCTACCAGTTTAATAATACAAATACATGAACAAATCCTCTTACAAACCCAGCTTTAGAATTTTAAAAATTACTGAAGATGTCGAGTTTCAAGGTAAATTTGAGGTTTCAGAACAGATAATTAGACGAAACAATTTTAGCTCAAGGTCTACTTCCCCAGCATTTGGCTCAGTTGTCATGGAAATGAAGATGCATTTAATAAATGTTTCAGATTTTACACAGGGTCATTTTAGGAGATTACAGCTATATTCGACTGTATCTTTTATAATCTACTTTGCGGTTTATCTCACTGTTTATCTATTGTACAACAACACATTATTCTTTCCTTTGTACAGCAGGTTCCCATTGCATAGTGCAAGTGCCACATTGACTCTCCAGGGCCCCCACATCTAACCCAAATCCTTCTTTTAACTTGAAAAATGGTTCACTGTGCTAACCACCAGGGACTGAGAAGAGGAATGCCTGTTCTGCCCACCACTGCTGTATTAGGTTACTTATTGACTGTAACATCTCTCTTCATTCTGCCTTACTTCATTTTCCATGTCTCGCTCCCTTGGCAACTTTCTCCCGCAGCCCCTTTTCCCCTTTTCCCCCACCCTGCTGTAGCCGCTGTGACCAGAGCACCATGCAGACTGGTCTCAAGCCTAAAATCCTGATGCTTTCCGCAGCCAACACGGCAGAGAATTTCTTTTTTTGGAGGCCCAGTTAAGGCTGCTTGCATTGGGGCAAAGCCTAGTGGGGCCAGGCTGAATGAATGAGCTGTCAGGCAGCCAGTTCTGTGATGAGGGACCCAGACTTCATGCAGGCTCAGATGGGGGAGATATCAGTTCCTGTCAACCCCCACAGCAAAAAGAGGATTCCATGTCAGTACTACCCTGGAAGATGGGTGTGAAATCGGAGGGGGCGATAGCCTGGGGAGGCAGCGAGGGGCTGTTCGGGGAATATAATACCAAGTCCATCTGTAGTAGATATATTCTGAATGCAAAGAGTCACACAAGATTATATACAAACATCTACTTCACTGAGATTTAATTAGACAAGTTTTGGAGACACATCATCGTGGCATACCTCCTACTAAAGCTATTTACGTTCAAAGCAATATTCTCGATCCTCTTGTGTCTTTTTTTTCCTTTTAACTTTGTCCATATTGCATTACTGCGTCTGGGTTGTTTGTTCCAGGATGTACAACTGGGAGCCCAGGAGGTGACAGGAGACTCGTGGGGAAGGAAAAAAGAAAGTACGAATTCTGGAGAGGAGAGGAGAAGAGGACGTAGAGGGAATAAGTCGACAAACAGGGATCCCAAGAGGGAAAGAACAGATGAGACAAAGATGGTGTCTGATAGCGGGACGTGGAGTGACAACACAGAGAAGCATTAGTAGAGGGAGAGAAACAGGGAGGACAGGAGTTGAAAATAAGGAGAAAAACTGACAGTAAGAAGCGAAAAGCTGGAAATTTCCCTCTGAAGGTGGAACTCGAAGACGGTCTTATTATTGCATGCATAGTAAAAAGAAATGTATGGATTCATAATGTTCTGCTGCTCTTATCTGCATAATAACTGTGTCACCTACAGAATGAAAGCAAAAGCCATCTTCATAAATTATTTCACGTCCAAGGAAAAAAAATCTATAAATTCATCTCGATGTTTTTTAGTGTGAATTGTGTTGAATATTGGGTCAGTGTTGCTGTTGTGTGTTTTTATAACATACTTTTTAGCAGAACTTTCGCTTTCAACTTAACTTTGACTACAATTATAGGAGCACAGGGATGTTTGTCAAAAAGGGGGCAAGTAAAAAAGACGCACAGAGTGAAGAAACAAAGTAAGAGCATCCTAAGTCCTTAGATGCCCTTATAAGTGATTGATTATCATTACAACTGGACAAAGGAGGGCAACAAATCTGTTTTGTTTTGCTAAAGAAGCTAAGTCCAGAGTAAACTAGGCTATAAAAGTTAGTCTTCCTAAGAAATCCAAAATGCCGACCAAAATCTGATTTGTGGGGGGTTGATAACTCTTAACATACTTGATGTCATCAATACAATAGAAAATGCATGCCATATAAGGAGTCCATTTTTAACAATTGCCTCTTTTAAGTCGTTTTTGTCTTGTTTTGTTTCACCAAAGCTGTTTTTGTTGACAGGCAGAGGTCGATGGTACATGGTAGAATTTTCTTCTGGTACACAACAACACACCAAGTCAGCATTTTGAGTCTCAGACCTATGTCGCCTTCTATCCCGAACTGGCGATTTGTTTTTGCTTCAATTTTTTTCTCTATCATCATGGCATCTACCCTAAAACAGTCAAAACAGGGAAAGACCCATGCTTTAGCTTCAGCGTTGCTGCACCTAACATGTTAAAGAAACCCTCGTGACACTTTTCAAAGAGCCAGTATCTGAACTACTGAAGAAAGGTAGGTGGAAATGTATGAAAATGTGAAAAGTGCAAGTGTGGAAGTGTGAATGCATTCATGAATATATCTGCAACTATTCTTCAAATGTGTTAATTTTTTGTTGATTTATATTAAGCGCTGCAGGGCACCCTTGAATAAGAGACCTCAGTCTCATAGGATTACCCTGCTAAAGTAAAGAAAAAAGAATCACAGCTCACATAAATTAAAGGAAAAAATCGAATTTAGGTTAAAGTTGGAATGCAACTTATGATAAATAACTGTCTTTGATGCAAAATCAAAGGTATCTGTATTGTAGGCATCTATGCTTGGATGCATGGAGGCCTGTTTTGATCAAGTACACTCCAGATATTTGGGCTAGGATGTTTTAAGTGAAAGTAAAATGTTCTGGAAGAATAAATACACAAGTTCAGATACCTAAAAACTTAACCTGAGTGTGATTTTAATGTGCTCTTTGTTACTTCCCACCTCTGCCTTGATGGAGTTAAAATGTAGTTTCTTTGATTATTTTATTCCCATTGCATCAGGAAAGTTAAAACACATACAGCATGGCGTTTGCTCACAGATACAGACACAAAAGAAAAAATGCGCAAAAAAATAGACACAAGTTCAGCAAGAGGATAGACAGAAGAAGCGGGAAAGTACTCGACATATTGAGAAAGCTTATACTACACCCAGGCAGAAGACAGGCAAGAGAGAAAAGTAGAACTGGCAGAGTTGAGAGGAGCACGAGCTGGAAAACATCAGTGGAGAACTCATCACAATGCAGCACGGCAGAGCAGCTCCCGGGCTGCACCGCAGGAATCCCATCTTCAGGGCTCAGAGCAGGTAATAGGAATGCTCCAGCCATTAATGCAAGAGAAGAGGAACAGGAAAAACCCTGTGTTCTCTGTCGAGGCCTTAGCCTTTCTATTGCCCATCTCTGATTCAACAGCAACTGGGCACCAGCACTCCAAGAAGACATGGATAAAAGGTGGTTCATACTGGGTGTGTATGTGAAATCCAACTTACATCCAGTGCCATGTGAAAAAGAGACAGAATAGGAGAGATAATGAAGAGGAATTGCTTTTGTTTGACAATCACACTTCTTCATCTTTTCTGTCATTTACAAGGCCAAACACGAGGGTTCTGCATATCCATTAGTTTTTAATGTAATTGATTCAGCTGAAACAGCAGATAGAAAAGCTGATTTTATAATAACATGGGCTATTATCCAAATACATTAAGGTTAACATCATTATAGGCTTTCAAGGAAGAAATACAGATTCCCATTTTCTGCTTCTGAACAATATTGTCTTCAAAGGCAGAACCACAAACATTATCATAAAACCAAATTTCCACAACATTTACATTAAGTGAGATTTTCTTTTTAAGTTCTCTGTATAACAGCAACCTCGACGTTCAAAGTCGTCTCCTCCGCACAATCTCAATCCTTGGTAGGCTGTTGCAGGTGTAGTTGCAATCTATAAGGAAAACTATATTTAACATGTGAAGTTATCTTAATTTACCACCAGTTTGTAGTGTAGGTGATACGAAGATAAGGAAGGCAAAGGAAAATGTTGTCTGTGGATGGAAAAATACCACCACAGGAGGAAGAGTTTCAGCTTTCTTCTGAGAGCAAGATGTGCTGCTTGTAAGAGTGAGAGCAGGATCAGAAAAAGCAAAGCTGATGTAAATGATTGAATCCATCACAAAAAGATTTGAGGATAACGCTGCCTCGATGATGACGCTTTTTCTCCCCTTTTTTTCTGCTCAGTTGAAATCTTTTATACTTTTTAGGCCTTATTATGTCGTGCAGGATAACAAAGACGCATGAAACCAATTCAGAAAGTCCTATTGGAAAGATAAATACAGTGGTCATTACTTATTTTTTTGTCATAAAGCAACCCAGTATTTCTCTAAAAATTCATGCCACATTTACATGCAACACTGAACCACTGATTTTAGATTTCCTCCAGTTATTAAAGCAAACTTAGCCACAGAATTTGCGAAAACTCATCTATGGGTGTGATTCCGTTCAGGTTTTTACAGCAAATGAGGCAAAATGTGTGTTCAGGACGAGAAAATATCGGTAAGGTATCATACTTCTAAATGTGGACTTCACATAACCTTAGAAACCATTTGAAACCATTATTTTACTGTCTTTATGTTGTGAAATCAGATCCTGTTTTGTTGTAAATTACCTTTAATCCACAAGATTAAAATAGGCAGTTATATCTCATTAAACAAATAGTGTTGTCAATATATCAGCCCATAAATAGCTTATTATCTAAAGACCCACTCTGATGAAAATCATGTTTTTCAGGACATACCATGAGAAAAATATTATTGAGTATTTCTGTATTTAATTCGCTGAGAATCTCTGGCAGACCCAAACGGCAGGTTCACACACAGTGAGATTTCCTACATCACAAATCCAAGCTCCGCCTCAGGAGCCCTGCGAGAACAAGCATGTGCGTTAGCTGATTGCAATGCTCGTAAGAAAGCTAATAATAATATTAACTTTCATCATGTCCCCAAAGACATCAGTGTCCGAGAGCTGATTAGCTCCTATGCTATCTGCCACTTCTACTACACTGGCAATGTTAGGCTGCAAGCTAGCGTGAAGAGGAATGCTGTCTCCGCCCACAACTCAGAGGCAAATTGCTAATGAGCTACTGGAGCTCTGCAGAAGAAAAGCCTGTGAAAATGACACAGGTAACACGATTTTGGCTAAAAACTTCATAATCCCAATTTAAAGACCACTGAGAACACTTTAAGTCGTAAAAAAAAAAAACGATCGGTGTGGGACTTTAAAGCACGGTAAACTACAAACACAATGCTACACAGCCACCAACATTTATTCATTTGTTTAAATTATAATGGGTCAATTATCGTGTCTCATCATTCAGTCATCTGTGCTGTGGTAAGAATCTGGCTGCTCTGTTTTATACAATATGAAAGTTGATGGAATTAGGCTGTATTATATGAGTTACCAAAAGTCACATTTACAATGTCACTCACTATCTACTATTTTGATGTTTATCCACACGAATCATAAGTTTGATTACATGAAAGTTGTTTAATCCAGTAGTTACAGCTTCATATCAGCTGCTGTCACACTGATTATTTGTTGTCTTGCTCGCTGAGAGGGGCGAAACCTTAAATGTAGACAATGCAGGGAATTATGGGTCATTTTTTTCCCCATTCGTAAAAGGCAGTCCAGTGTATCTTGTGTTGACGAAGGTAATCAAGGAAGCAATGAAGAATATGAACAGCTGTCATCATGGCCGACACTCAAAGACTTCTGGGTCGTTTCACTCAGTTAGGAACCTGCCTAACCAGAGAGGACTATTCAGATGTGCCTGAAGACTTAATGGGGTCAAAACAAACACCTGTGGTTAGAGAAGGAAGTTTATTTGGCACATCTGTCCTTGTAGTATTGATATCAATACAAATAGTGGATAGCTCTTGAAAAATGATCAAGATTTATCAGAAGTATGGTTAATTAATGTTCCATGTCGTTGCTGCTGTGTTCAGAAAAGTTGACAAGTACTATATCCTTACATATTGTCCAAGTATCTCAAGTCTGACAACATTTTAAAGTTAATCCAAGTTTCTCATCTTCTAAAAGTTTCGTGTAAGCCTTTAAATTGTTTAGCAAAGTTTCACGGATAGAAGTTCCTAATTGAGATTTATAATTAGACTTTGACTTGTTATGTCAGAACAAAACTCCTCTATAAGCCCAGGCACCGAAGTCAAAGCATTAAAATAAGCAGCTTATATCGACATAATGGTTCTATCTACTTGCATGTCCAGCAAATAAGTCAGTTGTTCATTAAGAGGGAAGGGTCTCCTCCTCTTTTTGGCTATCAGTGCTGCTCGTCTCCCCTCCCGCTAATATAATCAGCAGCATAATCAGCTCAATCTGTTTCATGGTCTCTTGCTGCTGGAAGAGTTGAAAGCAGGTTTGCCAGCTTTTCTAGACAGCACAG